CTTTATTTCTCTCTCAGATATTATTAGCTGAGTAGAGAATTAGTCTGAACTGTGTGGGACTTGGTACGTCTGCTAGAAAAAAGCACGCGGGCAGCCCTGCCTCCTAGAGCTTGTGCCAGACTCTCTTTTCCTGACCCTGGAAGCATGGAGAATTGTGTCCTCATTGCCATGCAGAAAGGAAGTCACACACGAAACAAGTGGGGGCAGTTCCTATTGCTCGCATTTCCCTTCTCTCAGGTTGATTAGGCATTGGGAAACTCAAGTGTGTTACTCTGGTGAAATAGTTTCCCTTGAGGGCAGACTGTTAGGGAGAACAGATATTTCTGAGTGTTAACAAAAATGGTTATTTTTCTCCTCACATGATGAAAGCGTAAGAAGATTTTTCTCTATCTTCATAGTGACAACCTGGTGGGGCTCCTGGAGGTAAAACTCATGAAAGGTGAGGGTTCTCCTAAAACCGAGCCCCTGCCCCCCAGTTATTTAATTCTCAAGCTTGTTGTCACTGAGCTTTCAGCAATTGCCAATTTCAGTTTAAAGTGTTCTTACCCTACCAGTACTAGTTCTGGCTGTGAACTTCCGTTCCTGGACTTTGACTCTGATAAGCTGTGACTCCCTGTATCTGCCCATCTATCGCTCCAGTTTTCAGGGTAGCGGTTTGCCCTGTGACTTCAGTTCTCTGATGGACTTAAGAAGAATTGTTGATTTTCAGTTTGTTCAGCTTTTCTCTTGTTATGAGGATGGGGGTGATGACTTCCAAGCTTCTTACAAGTCAGACTGGAAGCGGCCTTTTTTACACACGGAAGAAGAAGAAGAAAAAGAAAATAAGTTGCTCTCTGTCTTGGTTGAAATTATTTTAAAAGTAGAGCCTGAGGCAAGAACTTGTTGCTAGTAGTTAATCTGAAAAGTGATCCCTGAGGGCAGGAGTGAGAGATGGGTAAAGTGAATCAGGGACAGGAGAAAAGTTCATTTACAGAGTACAGCTTTGGCCTGCTAGTTTCCTGACATTGGCCTGGTATGGGGGTGATTAAAAACTCTGCATATGTAGGGTACCTATGTTCACCACAGCCTTGGAACAGAGCAGAAAAAGGCCTGAGGCCAAGCAGATTTTCACAGAAGCTGTGAAAAAAAATGGCCCCTTTGGAAACTTGTAAGTTTTTATTTTAGTTCTTTTGATTTTATACATTTCTTCTTGCTATTTCTCAGACTTTATCTTTAATTTAATCTTTGCTCTCCTGAATGGTGTTCTTAGCAGGCTTAGCCCCTAGGCCTGAGCAGCAGTTGGCTTTGGGTGTCACACTTCATTTTACTTCTTGTTTCGCCTTTTACAGAGCAGCTGGCCACCAAGACAGAGGTTGGACAAGTATCCTGTGGGAAGAGCCCGCCTTGCCAGCCAAGTTCCATAGACTTTCATCTCCTCTTTCAGTCTGATATCCACCAATTCTTATCACTCTTGTCTAGCCTCCTTTCTTCCCAAGCCTAAAATGTTCCCAAGAAGAACATATTTCTATGCGTTAAGTTTTGTGCTAGCCCTATTTGCGATGGGTCATGTGATATTCCAAAAACGGGTGCATGCCTAAGGTTACAAAAACTGAACTTAAGCCTTGATTAACCCAAATCTATCTTGACTTCAGTTTCTGTAATTTGTTGGACCATTGCAGAAATGGCAAAAATGTTTCATATACTAGTCAGTTTCTTGGGACTGCCTAGAACGCTGTGATGAGGGAAATTCTTAAGTTACATCCAGACCCTGAGGGAAAGGTGAAAAGATTGATTGGCAATGTCTGTCTTAGACAAGAAAAGGGGAGAGACATTGCTTGCCATCCCAGGATTAGAAGATCTTGTAGATTCATTTCAGCTCTGCACTGTTAAGAATCTAATTTTTGCTATGACCCCCTTTTTCAGAATTCATCAGTTTTTTTTTTTGTTGTTGTTTGTTGTTTGTTTGTTTTTCCCCTTTGGGGATCTTTTTTTTCCCAGCTTTCTCTCAGCAGTTCTTTAACCAATCTGGGATAAGGCTTCAACAATTGAAAGCTCGAAGGTTGCAGCTATCACACTGCATTCCTTGGGTAAGTCATTTTCTTCACTGGGTCTCAGTGAAATTGGAGGGGCTGTCATAAGATATCTAAGGTCTCTTTCAATGACCAAGTCCCACAATTCTATTATTCTGGAGTTACAATGCCTTGGTGAAAACAAACAAACAAACAGCCCACCAACTGGCTTAAGTGCATTGTAGGGTTGCAGCAGGAAGTGTCTTGTCTTCTGTTCCTTCTCTTTCTTTTTCCGTTCCTTCTTGGTGATGAGGAAGGTATGTAGTGGGCTTCATCCAGCCCTCAAATCTCAAAGTGATATTGTAAAATACATATTTGATCATTGACTCCATTTCCTGGCATACAACTCTTAAAATCCTTAGAATCTCTGAAGACATCCTTTTGTATGCTAATGAAATGACAGGTGGCTGGCAGCTCCCAGGTCGCTTCAGGATGAGAGCTGGTCACCAGAAAGCTCCAGGCAGAATTAGTGTTGGGACTTTCAGTCCCATCCCCTAATCTCTAAGGCTGAAGGCTAAGTTGATCACCAATGGTCATAGTTTCATCAATCATTCCTGTGTAATGAGGTCTCCATAAAAGCTCCAAAAAGACAGGGTTCAGACATCTTCAGGATAGCCGAACACAAGGAGGCTCCTAGAGGACTGGGTGCCCAGGGTGGGCATGGAAGCTCTGTGCCCCTTTCCATACCTTTCCCTTTGCATCTCTTCCTCTGTATCCCCTTTAATGCTTTTATAATAAACTGGCACACATAAGTTAAGTGTTTTTCTGAGGTCCATGAGCCACTCCAGCCAATTAATCGAACTTAAGGAGGGAATCCTAATGTATAACCAGTTGGTCAGAAGTACCGGTAAAATAATGTGGAGTTTTCAACTGGCCCCAAGCCCCAGTCTGAAGTTGTAGGGGAACAGTCTTGTGGACTGGGTCCTCCACCCATGGGATCTCATGCTGGGTTGGGATAGATAATATTAGAATTGAAATGAATAAGAGGTCATCTCGTTGGTGTCCTCTGCAGAATTAAGTGACTGCTTGTTGGTGAGGAAACCCCCCACATATTAGGTTAGAAATCTTTTGTGTTGATTGTTATTGGGTGACAGAATAGAAAAAGCACTTTGAGTGTGTTTCTTCAACACACATTACCCTTAATCTTCCTGCTGACCCCCTAAGCAAAGGACCAGACTGACCTGAACGGTTGGGTATATCAAAGGGCACACACAAACGAGAGGCAGAAGGAAATCATGAGGGTGTGCAATGGACTGGTCAAGTGTCCTTTTGGGAAAAACAGAGCATTTGAGATGTCAGGGGTAAGGGGACTCTCTAAAGGTACACTCTGAAGATACAGAATAGAGTGGACTTGGGATCCTGAACCCAGAGGAAAGTGAAGAGAAAGGGTAGAGAAATGATTTATGCATAAGGGAAGCAAGAGAGCAGATCCCGGAGCCAGGCCCTGTATTGGCACTAATTTGCTGTGTGACCTTAGGCAGGAGATCTTATTCCTCTGGGTCTCAGTTTTCTTTTCTTTTCTTTTCTTTTTTTTTGAGACAGAGTTATGCTCTTGTCACTCAGGCTGGAGTGCAATGGCATGACCTCAGCTCACTGGAACCTCTGCCTCCTGGGTTCAAGCAATTCTCCTGCCTCAGCCTCCCAAGTAGCTGGGATTACAGGCATGAGCCACCATGCCTGGCTAATTTTGTATTTTTTTTTTTTTTTTAGTAGAGACGGGGTTTCATCATGTTGGTAAGGCTGGTCTCAAACTCCTGACCTCAAGTGATCCACCTGCCTCGGCTTCCTGAAGTGCTGAGATTACAGGCATGAGTCACCATGCCCAGCCTCAGTTTTCTCATGTATCAAAATTAAAGGGAAAAGGAATAAGTTGATTTCTAAGGGTTTTCCCAACTCTAATATCCTGTGGATCCAGTTCCGAGTTCCTAGAGCTTCCTGTATCATGTGTATAGACATAGGTATCCAGGAAGGGAAGAAAAGAGAGAGGGTGTTTCTGAGTCCCTGACAGGGCACATGGAAGCCTAGAAAACCCAGGAAGACTGAGGCTGATCCTGTCTCAGACATAGAAGCCATAGCGGGGCTTCTAAAGACCTAAGCATCGTGCTTGTCCTGTCTCCCCTGTTTGAATTTAAGCCCCAGGAGGACAAAGCTTACTCTCTGGAATCTCTGCATTTTAGACTTACAAGTGTCTTTAAAGGTCATCTGGTCTCAATCCCTCACCCCAAAATGGGAACTCTCTGTATCCTACCACTGAAAGACGGCCCCCATACCTGTGTGTATTTGCCCTTCCAGATCATTTACAGAGTAAAGGGCAGAGTTTGATAACCGCTTCCTGCAGCTGACCTCTTGCCTCAGGACCCAGGAAATCTCCCTTGGGTTCCTCTGACACTGGCTCCAGTGTGCCAGCCTGGAACCTGAAATGCCATTCTCAGCTTCTCTTCAGGGAGTGAGGTGGGCGGAAACATGGCGGGTTTGGAGTCACACAGACCCGGGTTCAAGTCTCACTTCTACTGCTCATTAACTGAGGGTCTTTGGACAAAGTACCCCAGCTCTCTGTGCAGCTAACCTGCAAAATTCCAAGAATAATCCAACCTTGGGGGACTGGCGAGGGTTCATCAGGGGCATGAGATGAGCGTGAAACTCGTGCTCCCTTATTCTGCTCCTAACCGCCCTGTCTCCTCCACCAGGGTGTGAGCGTCTGTGGGGTAGGAACCGTTTCTGAGCCACAGGATTCTCTTTTATCCCAGTGCCAAAATAGTGCTTTGCCTATTATAAAAAATGAGAGAAATAAAATAAAAGCGAATTTATATGTGACCCCAGAATCTAGAACAGAGCTCTCTCTCTCAGCAAGGCCTATTAGCTAACAAAGTTCTGCTGCTCTCTGTCTTCAGAACAAAGACTTGTTCTGTGTCCCCAGACAGTCTAAAATGAAGGTTAAATAAAACAGTTCCTGTCTACACACGGAAACAAACAGAAACTGAACTGAACACCGAAACTGAAACTGTTTGTCTCTTCCTGAGAAACGAGCAAACCTGAAAGGTGCTCTCTGAGCTTCAGAGAGAAAAAATGGTTGTAGATATCCGGACTTGGGAGCAGACATTTCAAGAACTAATCCAAGAGGCAAAACCCTGGGCCAAATGGACACTGAAGTTGGATGAAAACCTTCAGCTAGACTGCCTGGCTCAAGGGTGGAAGCAATACCAACAGAGAGCATTTGGCTGGTGAGTGTGGGTTTCCCAGGCCATAGCCCTTCTAAGAACAGGGGCTCAGGCTCAGCTTAGCATGATTTATTCCTCTGAGAGCTTGTTGAAGCAGTAAATGTCACCAGCGTCTCCATCCTATTGTGGTCATAGTACTCTTTAGGGTCTAAATGATAAGACGACTCCAAACCTCCATTTTGTTTAACTGCAGGAAGTTTCTTCTTTTACTAAGTTTCCCTCCATAAATACTTCTGGAAAACCCTGGAGAAGGCCCCCTGTTCCGTAAATCTGCCCTTCTATTTTCTCGCCACCTCATTTGTTCCAGAGTCTTTTGCAGTCTCCCCAGCAGTCCCGACCAGCTTCCCCCAGCTGTAGCAGCTCTCCAAGCCTTGGCCCTGCTCAGTACAAGCCTGGGACGGAGTCATTTTTTTTTTTTAAATATCCTAAGAATTGGCTAAGATCAAGCAATTACTCTGCACATTGCTTTACTGAAGGCCTGGGGATAACAGGAGAGAATGATGTTGCAAAAACTAAATCTAAAACCCAGTTCGTGGAGTAACGAAGTCATACTCCTCCCTTACTCAGCACTTCCCTCTTTAACCCCCAGCAAGCCTGCAGATTGCAGGAACCAGTTTCCTTGCCCATGTTAGGAGGGTGAGAATTGCTGACCTGGACAATCAAATTTATTTTTAAGTGACACACAGGACCTTCAGTCTAGTTTTCATCTGACCTATTACTCAGCTTACCTGCCTGCCCCATCCTGCCTCAGGTATGGCCTTTTCCATTCCTTATGGACTATTAGCCATGCCATGCATTTTCAGACTTCCACACCATTGTTCATGGAGTTCTACTTGTTCAGCAGACCCTCCCCTCACCCCTCCCTGCTTATCCTCCAAGGCCCGCTCTAGTGCCTCCTCCTCCTAAAAGCATTCTCTGGTTCTCCTAGGCAGAGTAAGTATTCCTTCTTATACATTCCCATAGGATAATGGGATAAGATAAAATATATATGTGTATGTATACACAAATGATATATAATTATATATACATATATACTATGTATTTCAGAGTAATAAATTTATAAATAATGTATGTATTATCGTATATTGTATCAAATACAGTATATGCTTGTTTTTAGCTGCAGAATCTGTTGTTTAAATAAAGCCTCCCAAACCTCTCCAGAACAGTTCTCAAGTCACTTGTCAGAGCCCATATAGCAGTCATTTTGCCCTGCCTTCTAATCCAGGGAACTGTGTAAATGTTTCTTTCCACACCAACCAAAGCTTTTTGAGGGACTCATGATGTCTTACAACATTTTGGCACTGCTCCAAACAGAAAGAAAGTACTTCTCCTGTTGGGATGAATTGATTTGATTGTCATTTTGAGATCGGAAAAGCAACCTACCAGTGTATTTTGGAAAATATCAATCAGCTTTTGAAAACCATTTTGTAGTTTACAAAGTGTTTTCACACACATCATCTCATTTGATGCTGCTAGTATAACCCTTGAATTTTTTTTTATGGATTCAAGCAATGAGGGCTATAGAAGGGAAGAACTTTGCCCAAGGTCTTCCTGATGTAAACTGTGGACTTGGATCTTCAACCTAGGTATGAGGGAGGCAGGCTCTTTCTCCAGGTGTGAGAGATTAGCTACACTACTCATCAGAGGCAACGTGTTACAGCAGGTAAACAAGATTAATTTCAGATGGCCTGGGATTAGCAACATGCCTCTAACATTTACCCTGTGTGTCCTTAAGCAGGTTGTGTATCCTTTTCATGACTCAGTTTCCTTATCTGGATATTGGGTTTAATAGTGTTTACTTCACAGATGAAATGAGATAAAATTGTAAAACACCATTTATAGTGTATGCCTCAAAATAGATACTTTACCAAAGCTTTCTATGACCAAAATTAGGAACCAGTTTCTCTGGAAGATGGCAGACATGATTTTCCCTCAGAGGCATCTGGAGATGTTTTACTACCAAAGAGGTAGACTTGGTATAACATATGGGTGGCTACTCAGTATTATCTGAAACTTAATCCTTCTTGTTCCTGTTTATCAATGACTGGGACAATTTAAATCACATGAATTTTTTCAAATGGAAAAGGGTCTTAGAGACAGGGGCTAGGACCATTTTCCCTCCGGTTAACAACCAGATGAAGGCATAATGGGCATCTTCCTTCTAACTGCAGGTTCCGGTGTTCTTCCTGCCAGCGAAGCTGGGCTTCCGCCCAGGTGCAGATTCTGTGCCACACGTCCTGGGAGCACTGGACATCTCAGGGCCAGGTGCATATGAGGCTCTTTGGCCAAAGGTGCCAGAAGTGCTCCTGGTCCCAATATGAGATGCCTGAGTTCTCCTCGGATAGCACCATGAGGATTCTGAGCAACCTGGTGCAGCATATACTGAAGAAATACTATGGAAATGGCACGAGTAAGTCTCCAGAAATGCCAGTAATCCTGGAAGTGGCCCTGGAAGGATCCCATGACACAGCCAATTGTGAGGCATGCACTCTGGGCATCTGTGGACAGGGCTTAAAAAGCTACATGACAAAGCCATCCAAATCCCCACTCTCCCACCTAAAGACTGGGAATTCCTCACCTGGAATTGGTGCTGCATACATCCCAAACCAAGGCAAGAACCAGTCAGCTGAGACAAAAGAGGCTAAGGGGAGAGGGTATGAGAAATTAGGGCCCAGTCGAGACCCAGATCCATTGAACATCTGTGTCTTTGTTTTGCTGCTTGTATTTATTATAGTCAAATGCTTTACATCAGAATGATGAAAATAGGCTTGCCACCTTCTCTTGTTTTAATTCCATGGTAATCAATGAACTGGCTGCCATTTTAATATAACTGAGAATTCGCTTTGAGACCAAGCAGCATCAAGTTTGTAGAATAAACCCTGGTTTCCTAGTTATCCTCTGAAAACAGTGTAAAACATGACCAAACACATAATAAATTTAGTAATAAATATTGTCGAATTGCTGAAAAGTCTTCAATCATTCATTCACTAAGTCATTCAGTGATATCAACATAGCTCAGAAAGTGTGGGAGGCTGAATAATGGTCTCTCCCAACATATGCACATCTTAATCCCCAGAACCTATAAACATGTTACTTTACATGGCAGAATGGACTTTGCGGATGTAATTAAGGACCTTGAAATAGGTAGATTATTTCATATTGTCCAGGTGGATAAGAACCAGGATTTTGTAACAGGGAGGCAACAAGCTCAAAATCAGAAAAAGATCTGTCAATGGAACAAGCGGTTGAAGTGCTTTGAAGCTGGAGGAAGAGGTCACAGGCCAGAGTACAGGCAGCTTTTAGAAACCCAAAAGGACAAAGAAACAAATTCTCCCCTGGAGTCTCCCGAAGGAACCAGCCCTGCCTGCACGTGGCTTTAGCCCAGTGACACTGATTTTGGACATCTGGCCTCCAGAAGTGCTTGCACTTAAACTTGTCTTGTTTTAATGCACTAAGTTTGTGGTAATTTATTAGAGAAGCAGTAAGAAACGAATATAGTTATCAATATTACAGTATGAATCAGGGAATTATGTTTTAGGTGTGCTTCAGTTTTGATGGAAAAAAGAGCACTTTATACATTAGAAATACCAGTCAGCCCCATCTCTTCTTGTTCTTCTTTCTCCCCTACTTAAACGCACTCAAATATCTCCATCTCAAAGAGATTCCCTTTGATTTGATGATCCTTGGAGATATCATATTCTCACTTCTTTCAGCACTGGATTGGGAATCACAGAAGAACTTGCCAATCCTGAGATCCTCTGATGCATCCTTCACCCCCTATTTTCATCGGTCTGCTAGGCATTTCTGTGTGGCTGTCATGTTTAAAGCCAAGCTCAAAACACCTCTGACTTTCCTGTTTTAAATCCCCCGAGTCACCCAAGCTTATTACCTCAGAGTCATCTTCAACCTCTGCTGATCCCCAGCACTTATTCCTTTCTTTTGTCAAGTTACTCCCATCTCTTCCTTCTACTTTTCCTTGTCATCCTCTCTTCCTACCTAGTTCAAAATTATTGATAAACGAGGGGATTTGACTTTATCCCATAGGCAATGGGGTGTCATTGCAAGCATTTGAGGATATGGGCAATTTGAGTAGAACCACATTTTTAAAATACCGTCTATTTCTGGGAAATAATGGAGTACAGAATAGAAACAGTGAGAAGTCTGTCTTGCAATAGAATAGTGGGAAACACAGAAAGAGGGTCCCATAAACAATAAATATCTTGAAAGAATTTGAAGACAAATATAAGAGGCCAAAAGACCTAAGGATAAAATATCTCACTTCTTTCTGGCCATACCTCTTCATTTTATTTCAGGATCCCCCTACCAGTGCTCTCTCTGTTTACATACCCCCTCCCCGAACCACACTGTTGAATTCCTGAATTCCTCCTGTTTTCATACCTTTCTGTTTTTTTCACAAAGTACATTGGCCTGGGGATCTACATGAAAATATTATTCATAGCCTGGTAATGCTGTATGACCTCAGCAAGTCATAATCCCTTCCGGGGCCTTAGTTTCTCCATCTATAAAATAGGTGGGGATAAAACATGGAGGGTTGATCACATGTATTTACATCTGATCTCTCTTGAAATCACACCGAGTGACAGCAAAAGGAAATAAAGGCATCAATAGAGAAGGGCAAGGAGAATGGTTAGAAGATAGAACACTGATGGACTAGTGGCAGGTAGCTGACTTAGCAGAGTAGGGTGAGCCAGAATATAAGTTTAGTGTGGAAAAACCAAGATGTGATTCATGTGGCACAATTCCAAAAAGGCTCCAGACTGTAGGCTGAAGTAGCTCTGAAAATGGGCACTGGGAAGGCAAAAATGGGAGTGTTGACTGAAAGACTATACCAAGTTTCCTTCCCCTCTCCCAGGCAGCCTAGTAACCACACTTTACCCAACTGAGGGAGAAGAATGGAGGCTGCTTCTCTGAAGACATTTCTCACAGGGACTGTGGCTCAGGGAAATCCTTAAGAAAGGAGGAGCCACAAGCAATCAAAAAGATCATGGATGTTCACATGCTGAATAATGAGACCCTCTTACCTCACTATCAGCCCTTGGAGCCAGTTTTATAGCCTACCTGTCCATCCCTCATAGACACAGAACAATGGAGGACTCCTTTTCTAGAAAAACGGATCTGCTCAAGATAAAAGAAAATACATATACTGAAAGGGGGTGGGGGCTTCTCCAGTGAAATAGTAAACTCCGATAACCTCAGAGTAAACCCATCAGATGCTAATCCCCTCTGCCAGAGCTTGCAGGTGGCTTTTAAAGGTCTCTTATTTGCACCTTAAATGTGACTGGACAGACTGCCAAGGGATTCTCAAATGTTTGATAAAATCCCCTAATATAAAGGCAAAGAAGAAAAAAAGTTAAAATAAAAAAGGCTCTGAAGAAATAGAGATGATTACAGGATAAGAAAACAAAAAAATATTTAAAAAGTAAAACTATTATACCTCAGTAAAATAAGAGAAGGTATAATATTCGTTAGGCAAGAATTAGACATCATCCTGTGGGATAACCCTAGGTGAGACAGCTACCTTTGGCTGGAATCAGATTTATGGTAGAGTCTCAGCTACAAACATCCAATAGGCAATGATCCCAAAAGCTTGGACAATGAGCACCTTAGTCCTCAAGGAAGTGATGTGAGTGGTGCACCAAAGCCTCCACTACAATCTGCATCTTGCAAAACTCAAATCTACTTGCTTTGTATAAAAAGTCTACATCCGGGGAAAGGTCTTCCAGGATTCTTTTCCAGCAGAAACATACAAGAGGAAGGTTAGTGGATAAACTAAGCCCCTACCACTGCATCTGGTCTTGAGACAGCAGTCGTACGTCCATAATCTCTTTTTTCTACCTCCAGTTCTTGATTCTCCTTACCCTAACACCTCTGCTGGTTTAGGTGGCTTAAACTATAAGGCTATCCAAACACTTATCCTGAGGACTGTGAGCCCTGGGTCACCAGGTCCTTCTCAGTCTGTGGCTTCTTCCCTTGTCCATCTATTAAATATTATCAAACTTAGGGAAATACCAAGAGATGCGCCAGTGAATCGCTTGGGTGCTAAACACATTCTTCCCACACCCATTGTTTAATAGTAGTCCAATTTCCCTCTGATGATCAGGAAGATTACTCTTTTTTGTTTAAACTTTTATTTTAGGCTCAAGGGTCTATGTGCAGTTTGTCATATAGGTAAATTTGTGTCATGGGGGTTTGTTATACAGATTATTTCCTCACCCAGGTATTAAGCCCAGTATCCATTAGTTATTTTTCCTGATCCTCTCCCTCCTCCCACCCTCTGCCCTCTGGTAGGCCCCACTGTGTGTTGTTCCCTTCTGTGTGTCCATGTGTTCTCATCATTTAACTACCACTTACAAGTGAGAACATGTCATATTTGGTTTTTGTTCCTGCATTAGTTTGCTAAGGACAACAGCCTCTAGATTCATCCATGTCCTTGCAAAGGGCATAATCTCTTTTTTTTTTTTTATGGCTGCATAGAATTCCATGGTGTGTATGTACCATATTTTCTTTATCCAGTGTATCACTGATGGGCATTTAGGTTGATTCCATATCTTTGCAATTGTGAATAGTGCTGTGAGGAACACATGCGTGTATGTGTCTTTATAATAGAATGATTTATGTTCCTTTGGATATATACCCAGTAATGGGATCACTGGGTCAAATAGTATTTCTGTCTTTATGTTTTTGAGGAATCACTACACTGTCTTCTACAATGGCTGGACCAATTTACACTCCCATTAACAGTGTAAAGGCATTCTTTTTCTCTACAACCTTGCCAGCAGCTGTTATTTTTTGACTTTTTAATAGCCATTCTGACTGGTGTGAGATGGTATATCATTGTGGTTTTGATTTGCATTCAGGAACATAACTCTTTTTCTTGTATGCTGCACTCTTGGCAAAGGATCTCAGGAATGATCAGCCGTAGCTAGACAAGGGAGTTTTGCTATGTTTCTTGGTGGAACCATTCACCATCTAAGATCTCTTGACCTGCAGAGCCTTGAGTTGTGGCAATGGGAAGCACAGAAAACGGCAAGTGATTTAACGTGAAGCATTGTAAACAGTTACTCCTAAACCACCCGTTGATTTCCAGACCCATATATTCTACTTATTGTGACCACAGCATCATGTGATGGTAATTGATTCAGGTTGTATACCGCATTCTGGTGGATGGTGATTCATCTTTACAAAATAGCATCTCTAAATTGCACCACAGCTGCATCTTAAATATCATTGATCTGCCATTAATCTATCAGGCTGGCAGCTCCTGGGAAATGCAGTATTTGGTAAAACCAGGAAATTCCATGGTCGTATTGCCACTTCTGTAATTCTTTTGCTACAAATTTTCTCCCTTGGTCTAATGAGACATTATGTGCTACGTTAGTTTGCTAGGGCTGTAAGAGAGAATCAGTTTCATGCCTATTGCTTAGCTTCTGGTGGTTTGTTGGCAATCTTTAGAGTTCTTTGGCTTGTAGAAGCATCACCCTGATTCTTGCTTTTATCTTCAACTGGCAGTCTTCCTGTGTTAATGTCTGTGTTCAAAGTTCCTTTTTTTTATAAGGACACCAGTAATACCAGTAATATTGGATCAAGGGGCCACCTGACTCCAATATGACTTCATTTTAACTAATTACATCTTTAATAACCGTAATTTCAAATAAGGTCACATTCTGAGGTACTAAGGTTTAGCTCTTCAACATGCTTTTTTTGGGGGAAAGGGGGCACAATTTAGTACATTACAT